AGCGTGGTCCCGCACGGGCCCGGGAAGTGGAACCTGGAAGGAAGCAGCCTCGTGAGGGCGCAGGTAACCAGCGTGCAGAGCGGGTGTTTTTTTTTTTTTTCTCCTAAAGTCATGGTCCTGAAAGGTTTTTTAGCCAGCCTAGGATCCAGGGTCAATTTTGTGGCACGTAGCTAGGAGGGTGAAAACCCTGCTACACAGCTGTGGCTCTGGTTGAAAACTTTTGCTGTGAAATAGTAAATTGGATTTCAACCCTCAGACCTCAGTGTCTTGTTTAAAAAGTACAGCTGTAGCTTCAGTGTAAGTTAATAAACAATAAGAAAATATTATTTCTTAAGTTTTGGAGGAAGAAGTAGCATGTTTGTTTTTTAAAAAACTTGCTAGGCATTTTAACAGTTCAGTACAAGGTGACATCTAAGGGGGATGGGAAAACTAAAGCCCATTAATTTAAAACTGCACAATTTTACCTGAATCTGTCTGTTTACCTGAATCTGTCTGTAGCAGGAGTAGCTTCCATGTTAAATTCTGCAACTGGCACTCCTCTGCTGGATACCTGAGGGGCAAACATAGCAGCAGGATACACCACGGAGGAGGTTCCAACCTGCATGGATGGGGGGAAAAATGTCATGAGTGCAGCAGGCTGCTAGTTAAACCATCAGAAATCTCCCCTCCTCGAGCCCGCTCAGTGCATAGGACCTGCAGAGCAACTATAGCACCAAACATACACACAGAACCCAAACCAGTCAGCATACGTTTGGTGTCACTGCATATGTAGCCATATAGAATAGTGTAGGAATCAAGACTCTCTCTCGAATACACCCAGAGATGCCTTTTTGTAGGCTATAACTGGAAAAGAAGTTAAAGGAATCCCTGAAACACACAGGGACTGGCTTTGCTTTCAGTGGCATTTCAGACATCCTTCTGTTATTTGGGATTATTTTGTGAGGGATGCACAATAAATAAATAAACAGTCACTCACTACCAGGCAGAGGTCGCACATGTCGAGCTCTTTCTCCACCTCGGCGAGAACTTCAGGGTCCAGGGCTTCCCCAAACCACACGACGTGGGGGCGGAGGAGGCCATTGCAGCCATCTTCCTCACACCTGTTTAAAAAAACACAGAGGTACAATATTCTGCTTATGACATGAACATTTCAGCTGCAAGAAGGCCATTTTCCTCTTTAACTTGGACGTGTCTCAGCTCTCTTCACTCTTCGACCACACTCTCCACTGCCCTCTGTGTTCCCTAAACTACTTGCTAGACAAAAGACAGCCATGGCAGAGCTGTTTCCACACACGGATGTAACTGTGTCCTCCTTTACCTGCTCCCAAGTTTCATGAAATTCATGGGAACTTAGCACAATACAGATCTCTGCTTCTGTCAGCTAGAAAAGTGGCCAGTGAGTTTTTAAGGAGAAAGGGAACTGAAGGACAGAAGCATCGCATTAGCCCCATTTCCTTAGGAACTGGATGAAAAACACTATAGCTTCTTGTTACAATAAAGCTTCTATTGTTCTAAAAAACCAGCAGGGCATTTTTAAAGCCTGCAAGGGGTATTTGGCAGAAATACCTGAAAAGAGCATCACACTGAGTAACTAAAGCGCCACCTGAGAAAAAAGCAGCTGCTCCTTGTGTAGCACTTGGTTCTTAATGCAGTTGTCCTCCCACCTCACTTACAACTAAATCTGTTAGTTTATGCATTTTTAACTTGATTCTTGAGTACACAAAATGCCACTTCAGTGGTTGGGACAAAGTCCCCACACCTTATACGTCAGAGGAATGTGCCCTTCCACAACCATGGAACGGTAATATAAGCCTTTGATGTGCTTGAAATAACAAAAAGCAAGCAGTAGAGAGGGCGAGACCTACCGAGGAAGGTCTTCAACTGGAATTGCAGCATCTTCGATTTCCGGATTGGGAGCCCTGAAGTTACAAAGTTGGAGTATGGATTGAGTCATGCAAAGAGCACTTGGTATACTAATAAAAACTTAGCGTTCTCTAAAGCATTCTTCAATCAAGTTAACATCCAGTATGAGAGTCCCAGACATTCTGATATTGTTTTAATAAAAATCATAAATAATACTGTGCTTATATTGGGTTTATCATCGTGTTCTTCATTCAGCAGACTTCTCTCATGATATTATGAGCTCTACTTCAGCTGGGTAAACAGTTTACCCACATTTCAAAATACTTGGGTAAATTTTAAGCATCAGTACTAGTACAGGGGAAAAAAAAGTGGTTGCCTGAAATTCCAGTACACCTCCGAAGTGGCTTCTTTACTGTAGAGGATCAGACAGAATAGGAAATACAGAATTTACAAGGCAGATGTTACCCTTTTCCAGCCAATGCCGGGCATATGGGGCTCCTGTAATCCGCAGCCACATTTCCACAGTTGGTGCATCGGGTTTTAAATAAACTACCTGAAAGGCACAAATCAAAGTGTCAGCTGTTAGGAATCACGCACCTGCTCTGAGGCACAGCTCATGGTACCACTAGGTCTTGTTTAAAATGACGAGCCTGTTTTTTTCTGCCAGCCCTGCCCCCTTCCCTCCCCCTCGGCCAGGCTGCGCTGCCCTGTCGCAGGCAGGTGGGCTGGTTCTCACCATGGATTTCCAGGAGGGGCTTCGTGCCGGCTTTTTTTTTTCACCGTGTTTCTGCGTGATGCCCGCGCCGTTCCTGCCCTGCTTGTCCGGCTGCCGCTCGCACTCCGCGATGGCCATGTGTGCGGGGTTGGGCTGCTTGCTCAGCATCACCTCTCGGCGGTAGTGGTAGAATTCCCACACGCGAGAGGGGTTTCTGGCAAAAGCCTCGGGGGTGGCCAGTTCCTGAAAAAGACACAACAAAAATGGGAGGAAATCCCCCCTCCTCCTCGTGATCAAGCCTGATTGATAGCGTATTGCCCTTCACACCATTGCCTGGATAACAAGGCATCAAAAGCAGACTATTTCTGACCAGATGCAGCTGACAAGAACGTGGATCGAGAGCTCCTGCCTTATAAGGATGCCAAGTCAAACTGCCTTACTGAACAAGGAAACAGCCTGTATCAATAACGGGGTACCTGCTTCTTCACGATACGCTCTGTGCTACCTGTCAAACTATCGGAGCTTAGTACAGCAAAGGGAAGGTGAAGTATTTCAATGCACGGCATTACGGGCATTCGAAGAGTCCTCATTCCCACAGCAGCTGCAGAACTCGGCAGCGGGGAGATCCACACGTACTGGGGGCGCTTCCCGCCTTGAGGCGGCCGAGCGATCCCGGCCCTTGCAGCCCCGCGCTGGGCGGGTGCAGAAGGGGGTGTGCAGCCGCGCCGCGCGCACCTACCTGCGCTTGCCACTTCCTCCAGAGGCCCCCGGCGCCCCTGAACGTGGGGACGCCGCTCTCGGCACTAACGCCCGCTCCCGTAATAATGGCGATGTGCTTCGCTCTGGCAAAGGCCTCCCGAAAATCTGCCATGTCTAAGCACAGGGGAGGAAAGGAAACAGCTGCTCAAATGTGTGTCCTTTTATGCAAGAGGCCGTTCAGCAATGTGTGCACTCAGAAACGGCTACCACACACGTACACCTGCCGCAGCCTTAAGGTCAGAATCTTTTGTTCTGAACTTCTGCCTATTGTACCTAGAAGGGAGCTTCTTTGAGATGCTCAGGAATACTTCTAAACAAACCCAGTAGGGCAGTATGTGTTGAACTTTGAATTTATTTTATGCTTGAAAGACAGAAGTCTCAAACCCTGTGCTAGATGGTGCAGTACAACAGCCATGGCCACCCAAGAAGAGATTACCAACTGTAAGGTGAGATCCTGGGATGAAAGAAACTTTCAGTCTTTATAAACAGTTACAAAGTATCATCCTGAGAATTTTGGTAATTTGGGAAAAGATGATATGGCATCTTTCCCACTCTGTAGATCTGAAATTGTATTTTCTATTTTTAGTGTACATTACCTACATTTTTCCCTGTATGGTAAATTAACATGGGGAAAAGATAGACCCCCACTAAAATGGAGAAGAAATTTCTAAGCACAACCAAAAAGCATCGAATACGAGACAACCAGTCCCCCTTCAGTCTGTCTCGGATGCGAGCTGTAAAGCGACGTATTTTAGATTCTCCGGATCCCGGAGCGGTTGGTGTCAGCCTCTGGGGATGGCCGAATTGAGGCGAGGGCAGGTGGCCCCTGCCCACAGCAGCAGGGTCACCTGGAGCAGGCAGCCCACGGCCACCCCAGTCGTGTTTCAAGTATCCCCAAGGATGGAGGCTCTGCTGACCCCCTGAACACCCTGCTTCCATCCTCAGAATAAGGATTTTGTTTCTTATGTTTAAACAGTGTTTCCTGTATCTCAGCCTGTACCCCTTTGGACATCAAATTAAGGCCCATTTTTTAGGTTTAAAATAATAAAAAAAGCATTCATTGCTACTAGACTATAACAAAGCTTCTGCAGTTACGCAGGGCCTGCTCCCAGTTGTTATATATGCTTGAGGCCCTCCCTAATTCTTGCACAAATGTGGGGGTGGATTTTAATATCCATTAGGAATATGAAAAGGAAGTGCAATTAACTAGTATATGTTTATATGCATAAGTAATGAACACCATAAACATCAGCAGGCAGTCACATTGAGTACAGCTACATGAGGGATTTTAGAACCAAAAAGTTTATAGGAATGGAAAACAAATTTTAGCATGGGAAAAAAATGGAAAAAAATCAACTTTGCACTTTTCTAAGTTTTAAAAGAATCTACATTTTTTTGAATTAAAACACAGATTTTTGCCCATTACAGATAGCTCTGAAGGCTCCAGTCTAATTTAGTACCTGTTTAGTATCTTGAAAGAGACAAATAATCATCTTACTTGAACTCGGACGAGCCATTTCCAAGCAGAAGCGCTGCTTCTTTGAAGGAGGAGGCTTAAGCAAGCAGCGTGCTTGGGAGAGCAGCCTTCTAGAGGTGAACTGGAAGAGACTCATGGGCTCCCCTTCCACGCGCCTTATCTGGAAAACACAGCAACCGAAAGGCAAGCGAAACATTTAGCAAACGTATTTCTGTCGCAAATGGAGAGCGCAAACGCTCTTTGTGGTTCTCCCCAGCTCTTCGTTCAGCTGAGTGAAGCCCTGCGTATGAGAAGTGCTTGTGCCCGCGGTGTTTCGGAGCTGCGAGGCGATCAAACGGCGCCCTCAGCTTTTCCCTCCGTGCTGCAAAACGCAGACATCTCAACAGCGAGACCCAAAAATGGAGTGACCACTTTTGCTTTGACCAGGTGAGAGGGAGTGAAAGAAATTAGTTCTGCCCAAAGACTGCTGAGCCCTTAAAGACATCATTTAGAAATACAAATAAACAACACATAAAATGCAAAAATAAACACAGAATGACTGCAGCATTCCTTAACTGGAGCATAAAAACACGGTGCTGCAATTTTTATGCAATACTTAACTTTTACAATGCTTTTAAATTTTACTGACTTAACCAAGAGTAACTTCCAGGGCACAACTAATTCCACTTAAAGGCAAAAAGCAGCCAAACGTCCACATGCTGAGGGGCTCGGACAGGCCAAAGCTGCCGCCGGTCACCCCTGCTGCCAGGGGCTCCTCAGCCAAGAGGTGCCTCCAGCCTCGGCACGGGGCCGGGGTCCCGAGAAATTCCTTGCAAATTCCTGCCTTTTGGGTCTTGCAGTCCCGCTCGAGGGGCAGGGGACTGCAGCCTCGCTTGTACCCAGGGCCTGGCACCGCCTGCGCGTCACGCACACGTTACGCGTGATTTAACGCGGAGGAAAACGGTACCTACGCATTGCAACCCGGCTCTCCCTGTACGGATAAGCTGACTTCGCCGTGTCAAAAACACCGCGCCGGCGGCTAGGCGACACTCCAAGCGGGCGGCAGAGGCGCGTTTCGCGTTTGCACGGCGCTAAAACGCGTCCGCCCGGGAG